ACTAAGTTTTCATGATGAATGGAGAATAGACAGGAAATTTTGTAATAATAACCCCGTGCTCAAAAATTTAACAACATTTTTTTAAGTAATTAATTTTTTTCTCACCTAAATAATGTAAGTAAGCTGAGAAAACTTCGTAACATATCAAATTCAAAATTTAAATCCATTTTATACCAGAAGATGCAAAAGTTCTCAATTCACAAGATCACATAGACCAGAAAATAAAATTATACATTTAATTTTAAAAATATAAAATAATATTAGATGCTACTAAAGATGAATCCTCCTCGACTCCGAAGAAACTTTCATGAGAAACATTTTCGAAAGTCACCTTGACTTAGAAGGATTATGCTTTGGCACATGGCGTATAGGACTTTGTACAGAATTTTGTGCTGAATTCAATGATGTATTACATTCCGAAAAAATGAATCGATTTTAGTCAGATACGCTAAGATACGCTATACTTAGGTGGGTGATCAATTTTCATAACCGATCATTTTCGTATTTTTATTTTTACACTGACGATTCAAAATTAATTTTTCAAAATAAAATCGACAACTTTCTAGAAAATTTTTAAATAAATTTTTAATTCTTTTGAGCACAATATTAAATTTTTAAATGCAAATCAATATGGATAAAAAATATAATCGAAAAGTGCTTTCTATATATATCAAAGTATATTTGCAACATTTCTGAACGTATTTATTACAAAAATAGATTTATTCAATTTCGACAGTTTTACTTTAAAGGCATGCTTTGTTTTATTTCTTATCAGTTTCGTTGTCCGATCTGTTTTTTGTCTTGGATGCAATAGTTGAGTACATATCATTGTTTTCTAAGCTTTTTCTCATTTCAGTAACGAAGTACGATTGATAGATATATTCATTTCGGTCTACTTTATGAAAATTACAAAAGTACACGGTTTTTTTTTTCTTCTATTTATGACATGATTTTTTTTATAAATTTGTTTGATCTGTATAAAGTGGAATTTATTTTTATTAGAATATATTTAATTCGATTATTCAGTTTTATTCTTTATTTAGATTTATAAAACATTAAATAGACAGCGGTGAAGAACAAACTGTTTTTGTTTTTGAAAACAACAGACATACACATTCAATTTTTATGAGAAAAACAAAAAAACAATAAACAAATAAACATACAACTGTACATTAGAGAATAAAGAATAAAACACTGTTTTAACCAATAGAAAGAAAGAGAGAGCGAAAAAAAAACACGGACATCGCCAGCGATTACATTGACAAAAAGGACAAATCTAATTAGAAACAAAATCGAATAAGTACGAACTTAAATTACTATTCTTATTTCTTTTGTATCACACAACCGCTTGATATTTGATAAATCAATGTATTCGAGGTTGATGGACAAGACGATGATGATACAGATTGTGGTTGTTGTACTGAAGTTGATAAATTTCTTACCATACTTGTAGCTGATGATGAAGCATGATAGACAGTGCCTGCACTTGGTACTCTTATAATCGGTTGAGATTGCGGATGATGATCAAATATTCTTGATTGTACTGTTTTTATTATTGGACGTTGTTGTTGTTGTCTGTAGATTGGTGCTGTTGAAATTCGAATAGGACGAGGAGAATTAATAGTCGGTTGTTGTGTTATTAGATTTGTAATTGTTGGCTGCTGTTGTTGTTGAGTATTGATAACTACGGATCGAGATGCCGTCTGTGGTTGTTGATAAAAATTATTTATTAATGAGACGACCATTTGTTGATTAAGTGTAGGTGCAGTATTCAAAATCCATATTGTATTGCCGTTATTACTTAACTGTGGTGTAGAATTAGTTATTGTCAGTGGAAGAGAAGTTTGTTGTTGTGGTAAAGAGACAATTGTTGTATTAGACGGTATTGGACGTCTATTTATCGATGATAATGTTGTCTTTGATTTAGAATAAAATATATCAGATGAACCATTACTATCATCTTCTTCATCATTCACAGCTACTGTTTCTGTACATTCATCATAATTTTGATTGTGATTTCTTACTGGCATTATTATAGGTGGCACTCGTGCATGTTCCGGATTAATTTGAGGACGACGAATAACAGCCGGATGAAGTGGTGACTGAATTGTGTTAACGGGAGGAGTAGGTGGAGATTCTATTAAATTCGTGCCCATAAATTTTGGCGGTCTCCCACGACGTTTATTCTTGTTACTACTAGCATTGTCATAATTTGATTGTTGTTTAGTAATTTTAGAACGTTTTTGTTTTACTTTTTGTGGTATAGGTGACGTAAGAAGAGCACTACTCGTATCTGGATTAGGATTTGTTTTTTCATGTTTAGCAAGTTCTGATGCTACGAGACTATTTTGTGCACTCGAATATGTGTAAGCATATTTTACTTTTCGATCGTTATCATGAACATCAACATACATTATCTCATCTTCTTCCATTTCACGAAATTTTTCTTCTTCTTCTTTTAATGCTTTCAAACGTGATAAATGCCATTCTTTACGAATTTGTTCGCTATCAAACTAAAAATATAAAAAACAGAAATTATTAAAAGTACGTAAAACACGAATAAGATAAGTTCATTAAACAAAAAAGAATCATAAAAAATATTGTTATTCTGTCACAGACTAATAACGATTTTTGACTAATTAGTCTGTCTATTGGCTGACTATAACCAATCTTATCTGACACTCTCATAATTATTATCCTTTTAGAAAATTCATATTTATTCTTAAAATGTCTTCAACATACATGATTCAATTGCGTTCCTTGGTTTACTTGATCCAACGATAATGATGATTCATTTCCACGATGTATTTCTACAAATTTTAGTGCATAACGTTCGATTGGTTTAAGCTAAATATCAAAAAAGAATTAAATTCATTTGTTCTTATCAATGTCAAAAAATGTTACCTGTTCATCAATTATTTTTAATTCTTGTTCAACTTTATCCATTTGTTGTTTCTGTCTTTCAAATAATTGATCTTCATTCGTTGCACCAACATTATCTTCATTATCAAATTCATTTCTATCTGCATCAACTTCATTATTCAATTGTTCTGTTGCATTACGATCTGTTTCATCTTCAGCTGATGCTAGTGCTTCTTCAATTTGCGTTAAAGTTAAGTTATTTTCTGATGTTGTTACACGATTTATTTCCATTTGTTGTTGATATTCATTACGTTCTCGCACAATCTCATCGAGTGATATCGATTGATCAAATAAATCACGAATATTATTCTAAAAATATAATGATAAGTACATTATTGTGAAATAAAATTGATATAAACAATTCTACCTTTTTGAAATATTGCACATCAAAACATCCACCTTCAATAGCCAAATCACCTAGTAAACGTTTCTGTTGAGCTTTTTTTAATATATTTTGTTCTACAGTATTTTCACTTATCAATCTAAAAGAAAGAAAAATAAATAATTGTACTATAAAATGAATATTCTCATTTAAAATATGTCTAATATATGTGAAATATAAAAGAATTTTAATTTACCTATAAATATGTACATCTTTAGTTTGTCCAATTCGATGACATCTATCTTGAGCTTGTGCATCCATAGTTGGATTCCAATCAGAATCATAAAATATCACAGTATCAGCTCCTGTTAAATTAACACCAATTCCACCCGATCGTGTTGATAAAATAAAACAAAATACTTTTTCATCAGAATTAAATCTTTCCATTAATTGTTGTCGTTGTACTATTTGAGTTGTGCCATCTAATCTCAAATATGTATGACCATGATGATTCAAAAATAATTCTAATATATCTAACATTTTTGTCATTTGTGTAAATATCAAGCATCGATGTTTACCATGTTTTAATGTTGATAATAATTTATCAAGTGCTTGTAATTTTCCTAAAAAATTAAAAGAAAAGAAATAAAATTAAAAGAAGAGATAAAATAGAAAATAATAATTTACCACAATCATATTGAATTAAACGACGTTCAGGAAATTGTAAGAGCATATTCTGTTTTATTTGACTTAAAGGAGATAATATATCGAAATTCGTCGATGATATTACCTCAATCAATGGACGTCTTAATTCATCATATTTATAAAGAGAATAACCGGATGAACATAATTCAATTGGTTGACTTAATACACGAGTTGTACACAATATAAATCTAAATAAAAATGAATGTTTATAATAACTGTGACCAAATTTGGTCAGAACAAATACTAAATTATAATGGATTAAGCAAACAATTAGTTATTAATAATCAAATATCTATCTAAGTACGATTTTGATTGATCTAAAATCTATTACCTATTTAATATTGAAGAATATTCATCTAGTAACTGTTTATTGGATTTTAACATGGATTTTAAACAATTTGTGTGTAAAAAGTAATCTTTCTTCAATGATGAACACTGAAGATCGTAACAAAATGAATAACCATCATGCAACCATGAACGATATGAATGTTTAAAACGACATTGTTTCATAACTAATTGAACTTGTTCAATCATATCTTGACCATATACGGGCATAAATGAACAACGATCAACATTTAAATTACACATTAAATTTAACTGTCTAAAACGATTTTGTTGACGTTGTTTAACGATATTAAACTATAATAGAAAAATTAGTCCAAACTCACAATCTATAATAATTATTTTCAAAAAAAAAGTAGATAAAAACAAAGCTCATTTTTATCAAAATCTTGAAAGTTTCATAAACATAATGACAATTTGGAAGACTTTTTGTCAGATACATATCGATATGGACGATACATTTTTCAAAAATTAACTTACATATATTTTTTCTGGTTGAAATTCTTCATCGATAAAATCGTCCAAATTCAAATTCTTCTTATCTACTGCCATATTCATCAATGTCAAATCTCAATAGAAAAACAGAAAGTTTTTTACATTAGATAAAAAATCAGAAATACGCCGTCTATATTATTTCAATGTTATGATTCATTCAAAGATAAAGATTAATCTCTAGTTGATTAATTAGTTGTACTAAAAAACTTCGTAGATACTCACTGTTTTTTACAATTGATGATTGATTAATTGTACTTTGAATTGCTTGTTTTGTTGCTTGTAATGTATATTTAACTCGACAACATAAAAATACATTATTAAGTGAATTATTAAATGTCAATATAGGATTTTTCAATTGAACATCATTCGTAACAAGTTTAGGCATATTTATTTGTAATGTATTTAATTGTAATGAATAAGGTGAATGTACTTGTCGTTGTTCAAATAAATCGGGATGATTGCATACTTTTCGTAATTGCATTAATATATTTATAACAGACATGTAATGTCCTTGTGTTAAAACATCTTTTGTCGATTTACATTCAATAAAATCATCGTACAAAAAACGTTGACGTTTAGATAATTTACATAATATTAAATGTTCATATTTTTTTGGCATTTGTTTTTCAACATCTACTTTTAAACGACGTAATAGAAATGGACGTAATACTTTATGTAAACGTTTGATTAATGCATCATTTTGTTCTTGACCATGTTCAATCATTTCTGTTAATGGATTTGAAAACCATTCACGAAATTCATGATGAGAGGCAAATAAATTTGGCATAAGAAAATGCATAAGTGACCATAATTCCATTAATGAATTTTGTAACGGTGTACCAGTCAGTAATAGACGACGTTGACTATGAAAATTCAATAATATTTGCCAACGTTGTGATTTGAAATTTTTTATATTTTGTGCCTCATCTAGTATCAAATATTTCCATTTTTTACGACGAAATGCAACTGAATCTTGCAATACTAATTTATATGATGTTATACAGATATGAAACGCATTTACACGTGTCCAACCTTTACGTTTTTCTTTACGTTCTTTTACACTGCCATAATACGTCAAGATTTTAAATGATGGACACCTACAGCGAAAACGAGAAAATATGATTTTTATGTACATTAAATCAAAAGTATACAAACAGTTTACCATTTTTTACATTCTAATTCCCAGTTCAACATGACAGATGTCGGAACAACAATCAAATGCGGACCCCATACGCCTAAAACAAAAAAAAGCCGCGTAAAACATTTATGGACTGTGAAAATGAAAAACTATGATAGGTGTAAAAAAGTAAAAACATACATAAAGCTTTCAAGAAAAGTTTTCTACAGCATCTTAGTTGAACATACAATAGTATATAGAAATATATTTTACCTTTTTCACAAGCTAAATGAGCTAGTAATGCTATCGTTTGAATTGTTTTTCCTATAGTAAAAGAAATTAAAATAGTCAAATCGAAGACTGGTTTGTATTTATGACTCTTACCTAAGCCCATTTCATCAGCTAATATGCCATTCAATTTGTTTTCATATAATGTAACCAACCAGTCTAATCCGACATGTTGATATTCACGTAGCGAATGTTTTATTAAGAATGGAATTGGAGTTTTAACCTAAAAATGATAGAATAAGAAAAATGTACAAAATCCATCCCTTGATTGCTTACGTTTGTCGTTGTAAGTGTAAATCCAGTCGGTTGTAAACCTTGTGCTGTCAATGCCATATCATTCATTTCTTTATTTGTTTTATCCTCGTCGAGCGATTCTTCTTTATTTAGTTCCACAACATTTGCATTTGTTGTATGAGCACTATTTTCATTCTCCTCATTCTCTACTTTGTGTTGTATATTTTCAAAATAATTTTGACTAGACGATGTTGTTGCAATATCAATATTTTCTTTTTCACTTGATGAATTTGATTGCTCGGCATTAACATCAATTCCATAATATTTTTTTAGTAAACTTTCAATTGATTCTTCTTGATCTTTTTCTAATAAATCTAATTCGTTAATTGCTTCACCATGTTCAGACGTTTCCATTTGTTCTTCTTCCTCAATTGTTTGTTCATTGTCATCTTCTTCCGTTTCATCCCATTCAAATTCTTTATCATCATCATCCATTTTAGTTTCGATTGCTTCAGGTTTAATTTTTTGAACAATTTCTTTATTACTATTATCACTAATGTGTCGTGCTGATCTCAAACGAGTTGTGTATGATGAACGCTCTGTTGGCGTTTTATTATCAATGTCATTCCTTAACGGAGATTCTGTTGTTGTTTTCTCGCAGACGGGACTCTCCGACGTTATTTTTGATTCTTCTTCAATCGGATCTGTTTTTAATGATTCAAGGAGCCAATTTGAATATTTTTCTGTTTGATCAACAATAAAATTTAGATGCAAATCTAATGCATGACGACGAATCTCTTTTGAACGAGTCGATTCTTTATATTCAGCAATCTAAACAGAAGAAACAAGTAATACTGTATGGTTCTAGTACTCATTAAAGAAAAATTTTCTGAAAAATACTATTGTTATTTGTTGGCGTGTTTTAACATGAACCAGTAAACATACCTTCTGTATATTTTTCCAAAAGTTCATTACTTCCTTACAAATAAATTGATGTGTTTTTCGTTTTCGTTTTTCTTCTTCTTTCGATTTTTGATCTTGATGTTGAGTTTTATCTTTAAAATATCTTAAAACACCTTGTGATAATTTTTTAGCCATCAACTGTTTCCATTTTTTTTCACGCTGAAAATCTTCTGATAACCATTGCATTTCGTCTAATAAATAATCCCAATGTGTTTTACGTTTTTGATGTTCATTAGATTTTGTTAAACGTTTTTCACCTAGCCATTTACCATCGGATTTTAATTTTTCAACTCGTTTTAGTATGTCTGTTTCATGTTCAACACGAGTCGATGTTGGATGTTGATCATGTGATGATGACTGAGTTCGATTTAGCGCTAGACGTGTCGACACTTGTCCACGCTGACGTTTACCGGAAAACAACGGAACAATGGTTCGAGCTGAAGGTTTATTCAAGCTATGATTCAGCGTATTTTGTGTTGCTTTAATTGTAAATTGTACATCTTTCATATAATCCTCTTCTGTTTGGAAAAAACTTTGTTCATCTTCTGTCAATTGAGCAGACACGTCATGTCCACGTTGGAAATCAACAATTTCATGCACTTTATCACGATGATATTGAACTAGATCATTTAAAGCAGTAAAGAAACAATTTAATGGTGAAGATGAACGAAAACGTTTGGATTTAACAATAGAATCAGTACTCAGCAACATTTCTACTTCTGAATGTTTGCGTTTATGATCGTCAGGGGGTGTGGCACTCATTGATCTGAAAATAAAAGCAAAAGAAACACAGTCGACGCTGCACTACGCAAAAAGCATTGTAGATCGATTGTGTTCTACCCGCTGTATCTCCGCGATGGAAAAAAATGGGCGTACCAAGAAAAAGATACGGGTAGCTCACGAATAAAGCATCAAGTATCGAGTATTTTCAGAGTGTAGAATTTATCGTCGTTTAATGGTTTCCTTTTCCAGGAAAACGTACTAGTAATGAATCTATCCTAATAATTTTACGTGGGAATCAAGAAATCGACGAATCTAGGCAGAAAAAATCAAGTATATAAATCACCTAAGAATTCAGAAGTCAACGCATTCGTGGAGTCGGAAGTCAAGCAGTACGTGAGAGTGAGCCACTTCATAACATGGAAACACTGGCATCAAATCTTTCTCATTAGTGGAATGTTTTGGACGAAGAATGAAAAAGAAAATGACTAACATAATTTACACATGTATCTACATCGCATTGATGATTACGCCTCATCCGGATGGGTCACCGAACTCGACACAATCAACGCGAAAGGACGATACAAGCAAATAACTTCGCTAGACAAAAGTTGATAGTCCTACAGCTGAAGTTGTTCTAGAGGAAAAATATACCTCGAACGGAAATAAACCTTAGAATACATCATAGTTTATGTTTCGTTACAAAAGTGTATTGAATAGTATATGTAATTACGCCTACATTATAAATTGGGACACGCTTTAACGATTGACAGTTAGATACTACCAACCAGAGAGTCCCTATAGCGTTACAATCTATAGTCTGACATATCCTGCCTGACTGACTTTAATATAACAAACAAGATCGATGTTTTGTAGCTGTCTCAAAATTTGATCCAATCCAATGATTTTAAATATGACAGCAGTAATGCACTAATATAGTGGCGCAAGTATGTGTGTTTAGACGAAAGAAGTGGCGCGAAGTCAGATGTTATTCATGCTCTACAGTGCGTTGCAAAAATTCTGAGAACATTTCATTTTAGAATCGTGATTATTAGAAACATCATTCTATTTGCATGATATATTTTATTGAAAGTGCTATTATTGTATCTGTTAAGGTAAATATTTCTCTACAAAATGAAATGTTGCACGACTGTGTTCGATGAACCTTTGACGAGATATAGAAACGAGAAAGAGTGC